AAACAAACATCATGGCTGCTAGATCTGTAAATCTGTTATTACCTCCCCTTGGTTCATATCACTTCCCTTACTTAGGGATGTATTATTGAGCGGCAAATTTAATCATAAAAAGCAATACAAATTTTACACCCACAGTTGTTTATTTATTTTTAAAATTAAATTATAAGGAATGACTCTAATTCTTGGCCAAATTATTCGATGATAACCTGGTTTTGGTCAGTTTACGTTTTTTAGGCGGGCTTATTGCTCAAAGAGCAATTGCCGGCTTATGTGATCCTGTTCAAGGCAGGATGTTGACCCCATAGTCGCCATTTTAAAGTTACGTGCAAAAATATAGATCTTACTCTCAACCGCTTTTGAGATAATACAAACGCTAAATAAAGCAACAAAAATAAAACGAAGTTTTATTTATATAAAATAAACATTAGTAGTAATGACTTTGAAAACTTCATAGGTCAAAGAACATAGTTCATTAGCGTAAGGATTTTTGATAATCAGTGTTACCGTAGTTCTCTACACATACGAGGTAAAGCAGAAGAGGGAACCAGACTGGCCTGTTTGTTTACATTCAGCTGCGGTACCAGATTAATTCTGATTCTGACAAAATCGGACCGTGGTATTAGGATTGAAAAACTCACTGTCAGTGTCTTATCATTTATATTGATAGTTTTAAAATATTTTTTCATCAGAATATAAACGTGATTCATGTAAGAAATCCATTCTACTCTGTAAATGAGCCCGGCTCTCTGTACTTCTGAGTACTTTGATTTATAATCCGCTTCGCGGATTACAAAGCGTAAACTGACCCAAACCAGGTTATCATCGAATAATTTGGAAGAAGTAGAGTCATTCCTTAAATGATTTGTATGCATTTTGTTTTGAATCGTAATTCACGATGAAGAGTCTGTATAATACCAAGCAGGAGAATTGCTCCCTCGGCTTATTTTAGAAATCACTTAAAGAAGTGGTTATTTTTCACATGATTTTCAGAGGTTATGGGACGGAGTGTCTTAAGCACGGAGCTACCACTAATGCTACGTATACATTACAGTTTGATGAAAGAATTACATCATAAGTGGTTGAAAATGTCAACTATTAATGCAACAAGTTATATTGCAACGCTTAATGATATTTCTATCATTTAGCGGCGTTTTATGGTTATCTGTTGCTATAAAGCACTGTTCTTCACTGCACCAACTCGATGCTTCAAATTCCTGTGTAAATTATCTTGATGTTGGATTGTATGCCGTTGACAGTCTTTTTCCCGAATGTTCATGTTTGCTCTGCTCCCATTTTGTTTGAGCTCGATCCGTAATCGTCATCTTCTTACTATACCTCTGTTACAATACATATTTTGGTGTATAATAAGAGGGATGAGAAGAAAAAAAGAAGTTTGTTTTAAGATGTCTTTATGTTGTCCGGGAAAAGGGATATAATTTGCTTTACATTTTGTGAGTTGCACTCACTGCTTTTTTTTCAACTTTCTTCGTAAACTTTGTAAAATTAAATCTACTTCTTTTGACTTGTAGAAGATCGCCCTGCTCCAAAATCTTACAATGTGAAATACAGACTGAGAAACCCACCCCCGCCTACATATATGGTTGGAAACCACTTGCACACGGCGGAGAGGCTTCATGACAGACGGAGAAGAGTTTGTCAGCACTGTCGTATGACCGGAGTCACCACCAGCAGTGGGCATGGGGTCGAAACCAGCTGGTTTTGTTCCACCTGTGATATGCCACTCTGTGTCAACCATAGGAACTGCTGGAACAATTTTCACGAAAAACTCAATATTCAGTAACTGCCCAGAAAAAGAAGAACGATAAAAGATGTAATTAATTTCGTGATTTTTTTCAGTATTGTTTTATAAATCCTTTTGCTAAATGGGAGGTTCGATTGATCAGTGAAAAGGCAACGCATTAAACATAAGTCTTCCTCGAAAAAAATCCAAGAACTAATTGTATATTTGCATGAATGATAATATTCTTAATCTTATGTATGGAATAACAGATATACTTTAATCTTTCTTGAAAGATTCGAGTTTTACCTCCAATGTTTTGTGAATCTTTTAGTTAAAAAACAATTTAATATTAAGTGTTAATTAAGAAATTTTCATTTCAGGTCATCCCCTCCCCCTTTTTTAAAACAAAGCTCTGGTATTTTACGACTTCTGAGATTTTGCTTTGGTCATTACTGTAAAAAATGTACAATGTATCTTATGTATTTATTTAGTGGCATGAATTCAGCGATTGTCTAAGCATGCTATAATTCTCATTTGTACACATGCATTCAAGGCAGTCTATCTAAATCAGTATTTTTATACACTTTCAGTGGTTGATGAGAACATGCTGTCTGGTGACCCAGCGTATTTGATGTATGAAATCCCTGTTGCTTCTGAAGAACAGATTAATTCTTCTAAAATTCCCAACGAAGGAAGCACAAATGATATTGTATGGAACACAAATGATTGCGAGTGGAAAATAACATCAGCTTACACGCTGAGTCAACCTACTGTCCTTGAGAATAATGCAGAAAATGGTTATAAAGTGGTAGACATGGTAGACGTGGTAGAGAAAGCTGTATCTGCCGCATATAAGACAAAACCTGAGAAAATTCGGTCCAAAAGCAAGGAAATAAAATCGATCAGAAAACCACAAAATGATACTGTGAAAAGGTCAGTTTCTGATAAAGCGCGCAGAGATGTCAGTCTTAAGACACAGAAAGGAGCAACAAAGGTATCACAAACAATTTCTTCAAATCAAGCTAAAAGTGTTCAAATGCAGCATAAAAAAGCGCAGCTAAAGGTTGACAAAATAAAGGGCGTTTGTACGAAAGGAAATGCAGCATCTTCTACAATTTCAGAGAGGCGAATGTTAAAAACATCAATAAATAATTCAGAAAAAATGAAATTACAAGATAAAACAGTTAGGCCAAAAATTCGACAAGGTTTATACCGTTATGACTTCAGAACTTTCAAACGAAATGGAAAACGAAGTACTAAAAGAAAAGAAAGTATGCCCATGTCTTCTCACTATAGAATAAGCAAGATGAACCAACCAAGTTCCGTACAAACAGGGAAAAGCAAGCCTAAAACCATTGATTTGAACACGCAACTTGTTCAGTCTGATTCCAATGTCGAACTTGTTCAGCGTCAGTTAAACACCAAAGATGTTCAGACAGATTTCGATGAAAATGAAAGCACAGTATCAGAACCTGCCATTAATGAGACCATGAAAACAGCACAAACAAATAAATATGAAACAACAAAGCCAAAGATAGGAATACAGATTGCTTATCCCTCGCATTGTTTGTCGTACCAAGAAAGGAAAGGGAAGTGTACATATTGCCTAAACAACCCAGACACAGAAACGAAAATTGAACCTATCAACACAAAGTGCAAAATCTGTAATGTCTACCTCTGTAAAAGTATCTGGAGGAAAGGTGGACGATCTTGCTTTGAACGGTACCATAAGGAAAGAGCAAAGATTATCACTGAGTCGGTGGTAGGTCATCCTCCGAACAAAGAGGAGATCAAGTCTACTCACTACCCTGTGAATATAAGTATTCAAGAGGATAGTAGAAGGAAAAAGGTCTGTGAAATCTGCTATGCAGAAAAAATGGACCGAAAGACAGAAGGATCCACCCTCACTGGTTACAAATGCAGCATCTGTACTGTGGGGTTATGTGCTAGGCACAAAGACTGCTTTCAGATATATCATAACAATCTTTTTGAGATGGACCAAGGTTCCTGAAAGCTTTGACTAGAAACTTTGAATCTTTTCCTTTAAAAGTACAAATGTACTTCCAATCACTATCAACCAGTTGTGATGTCTGTACAGTTGGAACTTGTGCTGGGATAAATTTATTTTTATAACTGTGTCTACTATTTGTTTAAATATACCCGGATGTTTCATTGGGGAAACTTTATTCTCAAACAATGGACCAAAGATCAAATATTTTTGTTGATGGATATCTTTAAGATGTACAAGTTACATTATTTTGAAGGATATTGGTGTATATTTGTGCAGAATTTAGTTTTACGTTGCCTACGTTGCAAAGTAGTGACTGTTTCCATAAACATGTAGTGTCGTTCTTGTTGTACCAAAAAGAAATGGAATTAAAAATACTTCAAAATATATGCATTATTGATATAGTGTTTGGGATCAGCTGGTTCGTTATTATATTCAACAGTTTCAGATTTTGATCTGCTTTTCTTATGGGTAAAATATTTTGTCTCCTAGCCATTGTTTAGATTATTAGGTTCTTGGGTAGGGCTATGTTCATCGTACTTGGACGGGGAACTTGAAATTATATGTTTTCTTTAAAACCTCGTTTATAGAAAAATATATTTTTTATCCAAGGCAAGCTTAAAACAAGTCGATGTTACAAGGATTTGAACAACTGGTGTTAAGTCAGCTCTTTGTCTTCAAAAACCGTTCATTATATTTTACCTTGTTTGTAAATTCAACCTAGTGTTTATCATATTTTGACCTTGTCTGTAAATACAACCTAGTGTTGTTATCATATTTTGACCGACAAGATAATAATTATTTGAAATCAAAATGAAAAGATAGGTTTAATAATACTCTCGGATAAAATTTTAAAAAAAATTGTTACATGCGAATACAATTTTCAAGAAGTCCTGAAACATATATACTGCTTAGCAGATTGGAATTATGATGAATTGCTTAGCATTTTGCATAAAACTTCTCAACTCTTAAGTATATGCTCATCTATCTCAAAAAATTTAAAATAATTAATAAAAAAAAGTATGTTAAAAGGGTATTAAACACGGACCCCTGAAAATTTTAAAGGTGGGATCAGGTGCCTATGAGGAGTAGGAGTTCCCTGTAGATCGATCACATGCGACGTGAGCCCTGTGTGTTGATAAGGTAGACGGTATGTTCCGTGGTAAAATTCAGTAGGAAGGCTTTAATTCATGAAACGAGTCAGCGAAAATACCAATAAGGATCACAGAACTTGCTGATTTTGAACGAAGTTGTTGAAATTCAGGTAACATCAACTTTTCAGTGAGTAGCATGCCTCGCTTTAAAAGTTGATCGAACTCTGTTGAAAGTGGAATGGAACATATGGAGATAACGAACAGTACTCGAGATCAAAAGTCCATAAATACAAATTAGGAGGAGAGCAAACACGGACCTCCAAATCATTAGAGATAGGATCAGATGCCATGGAGGAGTGAGTATCCCCGGCCGACCGGTCACACCCGCCGTGTGCAAAATCCATCGTCAGTTCAGTGTATAAATAATGGACTAACAATTAGTTTGAAAAACGTCAGTCAGCATTTGACTCAATGATAAATTGTACTTGCTGACAAGGTCATTGTATCGACCGTAGAATTACGAAATGATGGCTTTAAAGGAGACTGCTGAAATTCTCGATTCATCAACTTGTCAATAATTTACCTCGTTTTAGAATTTGTTCCTACGTAGAGCATGCTCTTGCGGATCGATTCAACTGAGATATATAAATTCCGTATGCAGGTGATGAAGGTATATTGCTGCATAAGTAAGGGAAGTTGACGATAGAAAAGTTAGTCATCACGTTTATCTTATCATGGACCGTTGATGTTAGATTACCATTAACGTCTTTTTCAAGTAAAATATCCAAATATGAAACAGATGTGTCAGACTCTGCGGTATGTTTTATCCCAAGCTCACCAGGACATATCGTATCGACAGTTTTTAAGCTGTTGATTTTGGTGAAATCTTGTGATTTCAAATTGTCCAAAAGTTCCTTGCAATATCCACATCTGATTTACACCACTTCTTGAATATATTTTTGCACAGTACTCAGTGACAGTACAGTGCTCTACTAAGAAATCAGCAATACCCGGTTTATCTACTTAAATAAGGAAAGTAGATGTGAATATTCAATCTAAGAGGGGGCTCAAATTGTATATAAGGCCAAAACGTAAAAAAATTCCCTGAGTTGCAAATTTATAAATGTATCAAAAATAAATGTTTCCTTTGGAAATATTGATAAAAAATATTATTATCCGTAACATCATCAATAACAGCGGGTAGATCATTTCAGAAGACTTCGAAATCATCTCATCTCAAACCATTTTTCTTTTGTAGAGGGACACGAGGGTACCGTCTTCCCGTATGGAAACTTTGAGTATGATCGGCACGCTCCTGTCCGTATTTCCCAGGAAGAGAGCGTGTGTCGTCGGCGGGTCTGTGTGGTCTGTAGGTCCAACAAACTGAAGACAACGAGCGGCGGAATGATACAGTCTCGGTGGAAATGTCCGGAATGCAAGGTGGCGTTGTGCCGAGGAAACCGGAACTGCTACGCTCAGTACCATGCCTCAGTTTTCAAAATTCCTTTTGAGAGTGCTTTGTCTCTTAGCCGGTTTTTTCAACCTCCTGAAAAGACAGCTATGACTGTATTATATCCTAGTGATATAAGGTGATTATTGGAAATCGTGTAATGGGTTTGTATAGAAAAGAGAATAAAAAATTATTATTAAAAAAATTCTGACAATGATACAGTCTTTAACCATTTTTTTTCTTCAAAATTGCGTAATGTTGAGTTTGTGTTATAGTAAAATTAAGTAACATTTTTTGTTACTTGTGTCACTTTTATTTTTCAATATTTACATTCAGTGTAATTTTCCTTATGAAATCCATTAGAAATCCACGACGTTCAAATTTCTATAACACACGCGAAACCTTGTCACCGCACGTTAGAATACACAATAGGAACTACATGCATTTTCAATACTCTAGGAACACCAAAATGTAAAATGTTTTATTTCAATTTAATGAAAAACTAACCCTGAAAAATTAACGTAAAAATTAACGTAATGTGCATTAAGAATTAAATTGTCACTTTTTTCCTCGCAATGTTTGTTTGCGTTTTTAACTTTGCAACGTCATTAAACGTCATTTGACGTCACAAACGGCTCTTACATCTATTAATCACGGCAGTTTTGACGGGCGCTTAATTCACATTTAAGATTAAAGAAATAAGCAATTACGAAAAATGAAAATTAGAGAATGTAAATATAAGCAAATGTTTGCTAACGCGCGGTATTCAATTTGTCGGCACGGCCAGGGT